TTCTAAGATGCACTTTATGCATACATATTATGGATAATACATATTATAATCTTTTATTATCTTTGAAATAAAATCTTTTATTATCTTTATTAATCTTTTTATTAAGGTTTTTATTAGATTATAACAATTGACTTTATTTCTAACTTATGAAGCAAGGGGAATGACTACTGCCCCAAGGCTTCTTTTACAAGTAAGAATGATGGGGAGGAATATATATATATATATATATATATATATATATATATATATATATATATATATATATATATATATATATATATATATATATATATATATATATATATATATATATATATATATATATATATATATATATATATATTCAGTACACACCTGTCTGCAACCACTTTTTAGTTTTGTGATTTGACCCCGGCCATTGTCATACATCATTGGATTTGTTACAATGAGCAGAATTAGGTTTGATATGTCACCGAAATCATAAATTCCTTTTAGAAAAATATTTACGTTTTAGGGGCTAAAAATTTTGGAATTTCCCCACAAAACTCAGGGGGGAAAAAAATTAACATGAAAATTTGATATTTTCATGATTTCAAAAAAAGTGTCATCATGACACAAACCAAAAAATGCTTTGTTACTTTTGCACCCACAAAACATCAAGATTATTAAATAAGCAAGCAATAAAAGAGAAAGTGTCCACTTTTGATTTAGGTTGCACTGATACAAAAAATCCACTCGACATATGTGATAAATGTAGAAATAATATACGTAGAAAAAACTACTTGCCGGATTTAGTGATAGACTGGACTAAAAATGTTGTTACACTTTTAACCAGAAATTCTACTAGTTGTTACTGTATAATATGCAAACTAACCAATTTACGTGGAAGAACCCGAGCAAGAAGAAATAGTAAGTTTTCCAAGTTGCGTGCACCCCATGAAAAATTACGTAAATCTTGTCTTTCAATTATTGGGAAGGGAAAAAAGCACAAATGTGGAAATAAAATGTTAGCTGTAAAAGTATTAGAAAAACTTCAAGCCTCAGCTAAAGTTAAGGATCACCTTGCTTCTCAAGTTATCTCAGAAAAATCATATGAACAAGGATTAATAAGAATTAAACTTGCTACAGGTGCAAAACCTTTACAAATATCAGTAGGAACCTTAAAAAATAAACCTAAACAGATATCCTTGATTGATTTATTAAGGATTCAATCAAGACTTTCTTTGCCCAACAAGAAACTAATACAACTAGCAAAAGAACTCAGGTAAGAACAATTTGAAGTATATCTTACTCTTTTTAAGGAATTTAGTTAGCCTAAATGTATATGTTTCTTTTTTATTTAGAACATCAATTAAAAGGAAAACTTACATACAAGCAAACCTACAAACAGCACTTCCGGCAATTTATAGTGCACTTGAAGATTTATTTATAATTGATTATCAAGAATTTGATGTTAAAAAAGGAAATTTAAAAGTAAGGGAAAATATCCCTATTATTAAGTGCATCAATATTGAGGAGTTTGTAAAGTTGCTAATTGCAATGAAAGAAGCAAACTTAAGCAATCAAACAGTCAAGCTCGGTATTGATGGAGGAAGAAGCTTTCTAAAGGTAAATAAGTTCATTCTAAATATGTTTATGAGAATTATGATTCAGTAAAAAAAAATGGTACAACATTTTGTAAAAATTTCTTATTTTAGATTTGTTTAAACCTACTGTCAGATTGTGAGAGCAAAGGTTTAGAACTTGACAAAAACAATCATGAAGACAAAATTACAATGAGTACATATGAAGAACCTTAGAATTCAAAATATAAAGAAGGTTCTGTAAAAGCTTCTTTTTTACTAGCTTTAGTTCCGAATGTTCCTGAAAGTCACTACAATATTTCTATATTAATGAACTGTCTTAATTTAGATAAAATAAAACACTCATTTGTAGCTGATCTTAAGCTTTGTCAAATAATGTGTGGTTTATCTCCAAGTGCTATGGCTACACCACCGTGCCATATATGCGATTGGAAACGAATGCAACCATTTAAAGAAAAGAAGCTTAGAACTTTTGGTTTTTTAGAGGAACAGTACACAAAATTTTCTTAATCAGGTGCAATAAAACAAAATGCTAAAGAATTTTGCAACGTTATTAATCCTTCATTGATACACGCAGAAACCAACGACCACTTAGTGGCAGATTATATTTTCCTGACAGAGTTACACCTAATGGAGGGAGCTGTTAATCATATTTATAATCATATAGAGAAATGTGGTGGTGAAAACGAAGTGGCTAAAATATCAATGATTTTAAACAACAAAAGAGGTCTTTTAAAAAAAGCTGTTATCAGTTTTAACGTTAAAAACCTTTTAAATATTGCAAATGCTCCTAAAAATATATTTATGTTTTAACTTTACTTAAATATAACTTTTTTATGATAATATGTTACACAAAAATATGTTAAGTTTATTAATAAACAGAATCTTAATAATATAAAACATTAGTTAATGTGCATGGTTTGTATATATATTTAATATATTTGTATTTTACAAATGACATATTTATGACAGTCATATTCAAACGATATATTCTACTTATGACTCATTTTCACACCTTAAATGGCTATAACTTTTGAAAAATTAATAAATTTGCTATATAAATTTATTTGAAAAATAATAATTTAAAAATCCACAAATTTGAGAAAAATTTTCTAAATTGGGCCCTTTTCACCCCCAAAACGTAAATATTTTGCTAAAAGAAATTTTATGATTTTGGTGACATAAAACCTAAATCTACTCATTGTAACGAATCCAACGATGTATGACAATGGCCAAGGTCAAATCGCAAAACTAAAAAGTTGTTGCAGGCAGGTGTGAGTAGAATCCTGTCAACTCGGTCCCTGGATAAGTTGGACTTTTACTAAATCAGAAAGTTTTTCAATTTCCTTTGAACATCCTATAAATACCAAGAACTTCGCTTAACTCTTCGCTTAATTGAGAGTCCAACTTAACGGGGTTTTACTGTCTGTGTGTGTGTGTGTATATATATATATATATATATATATATATATATATATATATATATATATATATATATATATATATATATATATATAATTAGATATATTTGTTTAAATACTTGGAGAATCATTTAACAATATTTTTTTATAACTGAATAATAAATAATAAAATTAAATTTTTTGATTTGTATTACATGTTATACAAATTAAAAAATATAATTTTATTATTTATTATTTATTGTTTAATTATTTAAACTGTTAAAAGTTAATATCTTGAATATATCTTATCATAAAATATTTTGCGTCTTTTGCGAACTGCACATCCTGGAATGCTCTTTCCGTAAGGAACTATTTCGTAAGTATTCTTAAGAAATGATTTGTTTTGCAAGTTTTCTTTTCCGCTAAAACAATACTATTACGGTAGATAAAGATGCAAAATTTTCGCAAGTTCTATTTTTCAGCAAACAACCTTAGAAGAGAGTACTTTACATATTGCATGAAGTTAGTTTAGAAAAAAAAATGTTCTAGATTGTTTATATTAGAGAAACAGCATAAAAAAAGAAAGCTAAAGCTGGATCATGATGATCATCATCATTATTATCATAATGATGATGATCATGATAATGATCACAATGATGTTTATATATACATATATATACAAAATATAACATAAATTTTGAATAAAAAAATATTCTTTAGAATGTTAATGCAGCCCCTGTCACAAACCCAGCCCTGCCCCGGCTATAATTTATCAAACCCAGCTCCGGTCAAATAACAACCCCAGTCACTTACTACATGTAGAGGGTGTCGGACTGTTTTTAATTCTAGTAAATTTTTTTTTGGTAAATAACCATGAAGCTGCTATAGTGAAGGAAGTACTACAGAGTTTTTTTTTTGAAAAATGGAGTTCCGGAAGTTTTGGTATTCAATAGATGCTGCAGAATTTCATGATACTACCTTATACCAGTGGCTGAAGAAAATAAGTTGCTTTCCTTATAAGACCCAACTTTACCATACTCAATCGAATGGAGGAGCTGAAAGAATGGCTAAGACAGCAAAAATGATTTTAAAAGCTTATTCACCAGATTAAGGTTTACTATGTGGATATTTAAGCAGAATGCTTCTAAGTTACAAAACAATAGTTCATGCAGGAAGATCAAGTGCTTCTGAGATGATGGGGAGGCAGTTGAGATCTCCTCTCAGTATGAGTTTTGAAAGTGAAACACCCTTATGGTATCACCAAAGACCAGATTCAAATCCTGAACCTGCTTCATTTATTTCTCAGGCTGGTCTAAACACTGCAATCATATTGAGGAATAACTCTTCAGGTACATTAGTACACTGTGACCAAATAAACAAATGCCTAACTGAGCCTAGTATAGTTATGAATAATGAACATGGAATACATTATGATCCCACCATTAATGAGAAACTTGATCTTTTCAATAAATCTGATATATCCGAACTACTTGTAATTGAAGAAGAACATACGCAAAATCAAAAAAGTACACGGTCGACAAGGAGGCAAAAGCCGATATGTTTCAAGGATGTGAAGCCTTAAAACTTTTTTATTTGTGGACAAACAGTAACAGTGTTTATATAAATGTGGCGATTATATATAGTGGATATATAAAGATGGCTTACATATGAAAGATTATATATATCGTTATTTTTCTATTAGTCGTGTTTTATTAATGATACAATATTTACAAGTTATGATTCGTCAAATCAAAAAAATCTACTGTACGCTCTAGCTACTTAAATTTTTTTTTAATTTTTGAGTCAGCTTGATTTATTTAACTGTTCAAAGTAACTTGTGAACTTTGTAGTAAATCAAGCAAAAACTTTTTTCATAAAATTTAAGTAGATAAAATTTGAAGCAAGTCTAAAGTGGTACCCTAGAGATCATTTGATGTGGAATGCCCCTACTAGATAATAATTTATAAAACATAATTTATAAATACATAAATTAATACTAACTGTAATAAATTAATTTTTGATAATGAAACTAAAATACCTGGTAAACTGGTGCACTACGAACAACAGCACTTCTTTGTGAAACAAACTGTAAATTTGTATCTTCTATACCATTATGTTTATGGAGATGACTTTTGATAGCACTAGAATTGCTATGCAATTGACTCTCATAATTGTTGTGATTATTTACAACAGTCCCAGAAAGAATCCATGCAACATCTGGCAAGTGACAAACCATTTTATCAACATTTGAAGGTATTACTAAAGCATATTGAATAAGACCTTCTTCGTTTATACTTGGAAGCAAAGAGCGGCTTAACCGTGCTTGAACAGCAGCTAACACTCCTTCATATTGTGATTCAAGATTGTCAACTGCTAAAACTAAAGGTTTTAGATGTCCTGATCCCAGAGAATGAGCAAGAACTGCTAAGCATTCTAAACATGCATGTCTGACTCTTTTCTTTTTATCTAACAAACAAAAGGTTATTTGTGATGGAAGCTGTTTCAAATTAAAACTAGATGCTGGAAAGGTAAGTAAACCTCCAATAATCATATTAATTATTTCTTCTCTAACTCTTGCGCTTTTGTTGAATAAATGTGGTATAATATTTTGAAAAAAAACATCTGGAGAGAGATTGTGCATGACTGTTAACCCAATACATAGGTTCAATTTTCTAAGTACAGCTCTAGGATCATTCATTATTTTAAGCATAAGATTTGTTAAAATGTTTAAGTGTTCTTTAACACTATGACCAATAATTGTAATTAATCTATGTAAGAGAGATAGTGCTGGCAGGGCAACACTTAAATCAGACTCCACAAGTAGTGTACTTATAATCTCTAAAATTGATTCAGCATTGCTTTGAACTAGTATAACCTCTGCAGAAGAAAGATGCTTAATAAACTCATTGCAAGCATATGAGCGATCTTCTAAACTGGCACGATTATTCAATTTATCCATAACTGTCTGTGGAAGAAATCCGAAAAGTAGATCACAAGATAATTTATTTTCAACATGAAAAGACTCCTTAAAATTTGGAGATTCATTTACAGCTATAAGCTTCCCTCTACTTATAATATTTTCTTTCCTTGAAAAACTTGTTTTAAGCATTATATTGTTATATGAATCAATCAAATTCTTTTCTAATGATGTTAAGAAACTAGTAAACTCTTCACCAATACTATCCTTTATGTGTTCAAGACACAGCAAGACTGGAAGTTTGGATTCTGCAACATCAATCTGTGGCAGTATTTTTAAAACTGATACAAATAGTTCTTTCAAATCTTTTTTATTAAAACCTGAACGAACCAATGCAGGAACAATTAAAAATACTTCATTGCGCAGTACTTTATTACTGTTTGTAAAACCATGACGCAATAAACTGTCAATAATAAGGGATTTATCAGCATTTCTTTTAAAATATAAATGCAGCACTTGAAGAGCGCATCTTTTTACTGGTAGATTACGATTAACTAGATTGTCAAGAATTCCAGGAAATAGCAACTTTAAATGATTATCAAGTTCCATTCCATACAGTGGTATTGCATCAATTAAAATCGTCATTGCTATGCATCTTGTATGTGGTAACTCATCATATAGAGCTTGGTTAAGAACATAAATTAAATCTAATGGTTTATCATAAACTAATCTTCCTCCTGTTCGTTTTAAAGACTCCTGGACTTTTTCTAGAAATGAAACTCTTTTTGATTCTGTATCAAACCCATTGCATCCCTGAAATTTATGTGAACTTTCAAACTCTAAAACACTTGGAATCATGATGTTGAAATTCTGACTGAAGTCAGAGCTCTAAGTATTAACTGCATTTGTATTTTTTATGTTAAATTTCTCCTAAAAAGTTAAACATATATATATATGAACCACGGAATTAAGAAAAATGAGGTTGACAATAATTTTCCAACCTTAATCTTTTTAAGGTCAGCATCAGGTCGGCAAAAATTATTCGATACAAAGGTCTGACCATAAAACATAGAAACGAGGACGGCAATTTTTTGCCGACCTCAAGCACTTTCAGGTCGGCAGTTAGATCGGCATTGACGAATGTCAACTCTAATTCTGAGGGTTGTATATATATATATATATATATATAAATATATATATATATATATATATATATTTTTTTTTTTCAAATGGTCTAGGTAGCACTAATTTAGTAATTTGAGGGTAAGGGGTCTTTTGATGAAAACATACTACTTATTTTAAAAGGAGTAAAAACTAGTCTTGTCTTGCTATTATCTTTACAATATTTTTTAATATATTTATTTAATTGGTGTTGAAGTGTATTCGAAATTTGTCCAATGTAAGGGAGTTATTGTTGATTTTGAACCCAGTTATTGTTGATTTTGAAGGCCCTGTCAATCAGAGTTTTAATGAGTCCTAGTTTATAATTAATATTAGTGAAGCTGGTAAAATTAGTCAGTAAACATCTGTAAATTTTTTTATAAAACGTTGACGTATCAAGCATACTATTTACAGAGTTGATCATTATATCAAGAAAGTTCAATTTGTGATCAACTTTCAATTTGTGATCAAATTTGTGATATTTGACTGGGGCCAGGGCTGGGTTTGATAAAATATACAGGGCAGGGTTTGTGATCGGGGCTGCATAAACAATTATACATACAAGTATTTTTTTTAATTCAAATTTCATGTTATATTTTGTATATATATGCATATATAAACATCATTATGATCAACATGATCATCATCAATATCATCATCGGATCATCGGATCAACAATTATACATACAAGTATTTTTTTTAATTCAAATTTCATGTTATATTTTGTATATATATGCATATATAAACATCATTATGATCAACATGATCATCATCAATATCATCATCGTATCATCCTCTCTTTTGGCAAATACTACACCATATAAATACTAAAGCTTATTTAAATATGAAAGGATATTGAATGCTAGCATCCAAATAAATAGCAGACATATATGTTTATATCCATGATATGTATGCATAAAGTGCATCTTGCAGCTTTAATTACTTCTGGACTAAAAGTTTGGACTAAAAAGGTCCAGTCTGATGTTGAGCTCTGTTATTCTCAATTTACTAAATCTTGCATTTTATCTTAGATGTAAGTTAGTCTCCTTTTGGTTAGTCTTCAACAATGTCATTAACTGAAGTAAGTCTAACATTTAATCTCTAATTCATGGGTCTGATTTTTTTACTTCTCCCCAGAATAAAGCAGAGTTATTTTCAAAGAAATCTTACTCTAATTTGACTCTTGAATCTAATGGCCATACTCTGCAAGTTAAACAGATTAACTATTCAGTTTTATACCTTTTATACTATTATACCTGCGAGTTAAACAGATTAACCCATTGTTAAACATCCAAATCACTCTGGCTTCCAATGCTTTAGTTAATTCTCATTTGAACACTTCCACAGTTTATGCTTCAGACAAGATATCCATCATAGTCTTAAAAAAGTGTTCACTAGAACTCTCTTTAATTTTTGCTAAATTTTTAAAAAGTGCTAAATAATTGGTTCCAGTTTTTCAAAATTCTAGAAAACACTTTGACCTCTCCAACTATCCGATAATTAGTCTTCACTTTGTTATTAGTTTCTTTATATAAAAGTTTTGCTAAATTTTTATGGTTTATGGATTTAAATTCTGGACCTAAAATCCACAATTTTTGTTAGACAACTAAACTCATTTATTCACTGCAAAAAAAATATTGCAACAATGTTCGCAATCCTATATTGATAAATAACAACCCTCTTATTCTTTGACAAAGTCTAAAAGCAAATTGTAAATGTAATTAGACCTGCTTTATCTGCCATGCTTGAGCCACTCTCCCATTGTTGTAAGGTTGTATTTTTTTTCTTTTTTCTACAAATACTATCATGGTCAATGCTCAAATGAGCTATCATCTCTATTACAATAACCAAAACTCATTCTTGCTTGTTTCCTATTCAACAAGTTGCATTCTTTTACTGTATCTGTCCCTACATGCTTTAACAACTTTTATTAAATCAACCCTCGGAATTAGGGTCAGCATTTGGCAATACCTTTGTATCAGACCTGTATAAGACCTTTGTATCAAATTTTTTTTGCCGACCTCTAAATGATTGAGGTCGGCAAATTATTGCCAACCTCTCTTTTCCTAATTCTGAAGGTTGATATATATATACATATATATATATACATATATATATATATATATATATATATATATATATATATATATATATATATATATATATATATATATATATACCAGTAGTTAATAAATAGTAAATGTAAGCAAAAAATTAAAATATATAATGTATTATAAATTTTTTTCTAGCACTAGCTATCAACCCTTGCTAAATCTTATGGTTTTGGTTGGTGCTGAGACTGGGTTTGAAAAAAGTCTCATTTTTAGCTCTGGACCCGGTCACTTACTAAGGTAACAATATCAGTTTTTGCTGTCTAATTACATCAGTCCAACAACATATGTAAATATAATTAGGTATAATAACATCTGTCCAACAACATCTGAATTGTCATTGATGTCTAATAACATCTGTACAAAATGTATATGAATATGACAGATTTAGCTTTATCTTTTCAATTATCTAAGAATAACAACTTCTGTGCAACTATATTTGAAGATTTTACAGATGTAGTTTCATTTTTTAACTGTATTAAGATTAATTACATCTGTACAAATACATCTGTCATTTCTACAGATGTAGTTTTTTTTTCAATTAAATTAAAAATAACAACATGACTTTTTTTAGATGTAATTACACCAGGAAAAAATTATTAAATAATAATGCATTATTTTAACTAGATGTAGTTACTAATATGGCTTTTTTTCAGATGTAATTACATCTGGAGGAAATTCTTCCAGATGTTATTGGACTAGATATAAATTACCAGATGTAGTTATATCTTCCAAAAAATATTGTTAGGGGTCATTGAACTCCCATATGATACTGGACAGATGTTGATGGAGTTAAAAAAAAAAAATACAGATGATCTTGGACTACTCTACAGATGTTGTTGGACAGATGTAATAATCTTTTACCGGACCATTCCATTTGAAAACATCCAGGGCATGCAACCATAAATCTCAGACTTTGCTGATTTTTATGCCAATGTAGCTCAACTTTTTTTTCTTCAGAAGTTGCCCTGAACAGTTAAGTTATAGTTATTACAAAGAACTGGAGAGCGATCTTTTCTAAAACAGAAATAAAAACAAAAGAGAAAAAAAAAGGTGGTAACTTGAAAGTTTTGTAATTAAAACAGTTTTGGCTATAATAAACTATTATTTTAGTTGTTTTTGACTTTCTTTTTCTGCTTCCTTAATAGTTTTATTATTTAGAAATGTTTATAAATAGGAATCTTCATTAATGATGTATAATTTTTTAACTCTGAACAATCTTGACCACATACACGCATTGAATGATTTTTACATTTTTCTTTCTTTTTTAGGGATCTTGTGGATTCGAAAAAGCTTTAAACTATGACTGTCACAAAATCTGTTTTGTACTAAAACAAATTTTCAAAGATTTTTGTAATCTAGAAAATTTTTTTTAAGATTTTCATATTTGGAGGTCTGGAGCTTGCTTGAGACTACTATAGAGATAAATACTATTTTTTATCATCATGAGCTGGTTTAATGACCTGAAGTGAAATTGATAATGTATCATTTGTTAAAGGTAAATCTTGTAATAAACAACAGTTAGATAACTCGTTAATATCAATTAGAGTCTCACCAATTAAATTTCATGAAGTTGCAATGCATAATAAGTCAATGCATAATAATATCTTTACTCAATATATATACATTTGCTAACACACCCAAGAGTATAATAAACATTATAAACGTTATATACAATACAATATATGACGCACCCAAAATGCTCCTTTTGAGGCAACACAATAATGCAACTCAATAATAGTTTATATACAATACAATTATTTATATCAATTTCACTTATATTTAGAGGTCTGCCTGGCTTGAGACTACATACATAGAGATAAAGACTATTCGTTAACATCATGAGCAGGTTTTATGATCTGATGTAAAATTGATAGTGATGCATCATTTGTCAAAGGTAAATCTTGTAATAAAAAAGTTGGACAACTCTTTAATATCAATTGGATTCTCACCAATTAAAGTTCATGGAGTTGCAAAGCATCAATGAGTTGTAACAACAATAGCAAAAAAAGCCAAAGCCTACACAAAAATGGAAGGAGTAGCAAGTGCTTATAGAGTAAATACAGATAACTTTAGTATAGTCTCAACTTTTTCCAGTCATCCTACAATAAAAAAAAAAAAAAAAAATGATCTTAATTATTTAACAACTTTAATGAAAGAAAAACTTAAACTTGAACCATTAAAAAGAAAAATTCAAATATTAACACTGACATTTGAACCTTAGTCTAGAAAATATGCTTCAGAATACTTTGAAGTTTATGAACATCTTATACAACCTGCTAGGAAACATAAAAGTGAAAATGAGATTCTTGTATACCTGATAAAAAAATAGGCCAACAAATAGCTAAATTAAGATTTTTTTCAACAAGATGAATATTCTAGAAGTATGCCTGGTAAAAAAGAATGTGTTAAGGTTAAAGGTGGTTCACCACAACAAAAAAGATTATTGTTGTGCAACCTTCATGACCTATATACTGATTTTAAAAGTAAATACACTAATTTTAAAATAGGATTTTCACAGTTTTGTAGTTTGTGTCTGAAATAATGTATTAGTGTAGGATTGAGCTGTACACACTGTGTGTACTTCTTGGTCCCACACTAAAACACTAATGTGTTTGTATTCACCATCAAAATTCAATATTGCTTGTAAATGCTATC